TCACTTATATGGTTATTATCACATAAATACCAGATAATTGTATATTTAAGAAGTCTCTAATGCATTCTGAAGGTGTTTATGTTATTTCTTGCCTGCAATGTCAAATAGCTTGGCATATATAAAATGTGTCCCATGACCAAAATGTGTCTTTTGTCTTAACTTATGTATGTTCCAAGTTTGGTGTTTTTCTCATTATCTGAAATATTTTGGGGTTTTTTATGCGTCCTACAAATTTACTGGACTACGTGTAAATTAAGAATACTTGCATAGTATTTTACTTCGTTATTATTGCTAAGGATTAACAAGCGGCTGTCTCGATATAGGTTTCAGTTGTTGAATCATAAATATTACGAGCAAAATTCTGCGATTAATATCAATGATTATTGATTATAATCATAATTAATAATTATAATGATATGATGCGTTTTGAATCGGAATATCAGTCCCATGGCAATCCGCTCATTGAGAGGTGACGAGATTTAACGATATTCCGATCTGAACCCGGAAAAAGGCCAGATAATTGTTCTCGTATATTCTACCATATTCCACCTATATTTATAAACTGTTAACCTAAGTTCATTAACATTTCGTGGAAATTAATATCATTGTATCCGTAACTTTTACCTAATAATAGCGGTAGGAATTTTCAACTTATTATGCAACGGCGAATGGAAATGGCGTCGTTTACATCCTAAAACACACTAAAATGGCGTCATTTGTTGCACCTGACTCTAATAAAAAGAAGCGGAAACGGAAAATCCAAGATAATACTTTTTTAACAATTTATAAAGGTGGAATGACACTAAATTTATATGTTAAAAGAAATTACATTTCTATACAAAACGGTATTCCATTTAGCCTCCGATTTTAATACATCTCAACTGTTTCTAACTTTTTAAATCATTGTGAATTCCATTGTAAATTATTTATTTTTAAATTTTTTCCTCAGAGACAATATTGAATAAATAGTGCGTATCATTTTGATCACGTGTATGTGTGTAAATGTATAAACGAATATCTTTTTGTTCATCAGATTTTATATTATCTATATTCTTGACTCGCAAAACTATTTTCATTACGAATATCCTATGTAAGTATTTGAGAATTAGATTTATATTGAGTCAGTGGGCCTTTAAACGCATACAAAAAAAAACATTTAAGTTAAATTTCAATATTATTTCAACTCGTATATTTGTAAAGTTGTTTTACTGTACTTCCGTGTGTGAAGTTGATTTTGGTCTAAGCTTAAACGGTCTTCTTAAAAAGTGTATGTACATTTTCATCTCCCGAATAAATACACAGAGGTTTCTATGTTTATAATTGTTAGGCATGACATTATACATGTATTTTTTTATTTAAATGTTTGTCCATACATATCTGAGCCAATTATTATCATTGTTATTTCCCTTGTGACACACGTTTGGTTGTTAAAATAAAAAATGAATGTCTCAATCTTTTATTTTTTAAACCAAGTTAAATAAATTACTCATTGGCAAATTACCTGAACTGTCTTCTTTTTCTGTTGCTTTTTGACATTTTGTACACTTACAGTGATTTAGTATATTGTATGGAAGTCAAAATACTATTTTGTTTACATTTTGCTTCTTGAATGACATATTTTTTTATATTTAGCGCTATTTTCGTGACGTTAAAGGCACTATAATGCTCTGAGACCATTATTCAAACGTCATAAAACTCATGTTTGACCTTACTAAAGGAGTAAAATAACACATTTTCAGGTTGTTATTTACTAATATATTAATAGTTATTAAGATATTAAACAGGTTATATGGCCGTGTATATAAACAGTTGTTAACATATACTAGAGTATAACACGAGTCGCTATGCAAGGTTTATTTATGCAAACAACCGTTTATATACGGCCATATGACCTGTCAAGAATCTTTATATCAAATTTATAATACTGCAAACTTTATTTATTAAGGAAACAAAATAATAATTCATAACTCGACTGCATCCGGGTATGCAGATTTTATAAACGTCAGATTATCAACAAAAAGCGACGTTAAAAAACGGCAGAATTATTAAGTTTAAATTTAAACGCAATATTGTCCCAAGTGGTTCATCCTTGATTTTCAACTTATTTTTGAAAATGATATAAAAACTGAACTTATAAAAAAAATGTAATAAAAAAGAAATGGGCAATCTTAAAGTACTTGCGTGGAAATAAGGGCCAATAGCCTAATAATTTTAATAAATTTTTTCAAACCGAATGCATCTTCACATGAATACCATATCTATTTTCGTTTATGTTTTTGCTCTTTATTATCACTGAAAAAAATGTTTACGGCTCGAAAAATGCACATGTGTATATAAAGTAGTAATTTTAACTAAACAAAGTCTGCCACGTGTTATCACTGTTTCACGTGGTAATGTACAACAATGCACAAGTACTTTCCGTTTTTGTACTTATAAAAGGTAAGCCAATCAAAAAGTAAGTTATCCTTTATTTGTCATTATTTTTTTTCAGCCCATAAATCATGTAGACGGAAAAACGAGTGATGTTAAGTAAAAATATGACCGATATTTAACATGTTCATTTTCTATCATTTGTTAGATTAATTAAGAAAGAAGTGCCTATTCATCTGAAATAACTATGCTTAAATTTCAAAACAGATTCGCGTTCATTTACCTGATTTGTCCTGTACTTACTGACCTTAACCCATTACCGTGTCATATCTGTAGTTATCCTGATAGTTCACTCTATTCAGTCTAAGACATATGAGCCGCGTCACGACAAAACCAACGTAATGCGTTTGCGACCAGCATGGATCCAGACCAGCCTTCGCATCCGCGCAGTCTGATCAGGATCCATGCTGTTCGCTATCATTTTCTCTACTTGTAAAAGGGTTGGTAAGCGAACAGCATGGATCCTGATCAGACTGCGCGGATGCGCAGGCTGGTCTGGATCCATGCTGGTCGCAAACGCACTATGTTGGTTTTGTCGTGACTCGGCTCATATTTAGTTAATCAACATATTCTTAAGATAAAACGTAAGTTATAAAACAACAGGTTATAAAATTAACAGGCTATATAATTTACTTCATGGTAATTTATAAAATACGGTAATTTCTTCATGCTTGAATGAATCAAGATCGTAACGTCTGATACATTTTACTCCCTCGTTTTTACTGTTGTTGTTGCTGCTGTTGCTGTTGCTGTTGCTGCTGCTTAATCGATTGAATGCTTATTTAAAATAATATAGGAAACTTTAAATGAAAAAAGTACTTTCAAGATGATCAAGTCATCCGGGCGACTGAACAATTATGTCAAACATAATCTTTAATGATCTTTCATTAACCGTGTTACAAAACATGGCAGATTTCATATAACAGAATAATCTATGATTTCATTTCCTATCAAAATCGTGAAAAAAATGCACTTTACTATCACGGAATCTTTTGTATTTTACGAGATGAATGACAATTATATCTATTTGTAATTAAAACTTGTTCGTATAATTTTAGGATAAGTGCTTAGCTTAATTAAAGCAATACCGTTGAGGTTTGCGTAAAAGGAAAGAAAGATGAAAAAGGTTCAAATATGGGTTAATATGTATTAACAAGGAATGTAAAAAATCGAGTATCAGTTTTTGTTCAGTTTCTTTTAGCTTAGCTCGCAAAATGATCTTTGACCATTTACTTTACCACCATATGGATTTAGATACATTAAAATATCATTCGAGAGATATTAATCGCGTTCTGTAGGCAACATTTATGGATTGACCTCACTAAAGAACAGTTAATCAAGATTAAGTCTAAATTAATTTGGTCTATGATAAAATATTTATTTTCATTTCTTCGTCATTTGCAGGCTCCAAATGTGCTGGGTGCAATTCACTCGAACGCTGGAAACACATATTATCTTAACAAATTTTTTTTTCACTTTTAGTGAAAATGGACGCTATTTCTGGGCCAAATGTATTGATACAAAATATAATTGTTGTTCAAAAGGAGTTAAAAAACTGTTGAAAATGTAAAAATCAAATAAGACTTCAAATACATAATTCTCAAAATAGATTTTATTTACAAAAAATAACAACTGCTGGAACAACATATTTTGAAGTTATACTATCTAACAATATATCTCTAATGCTGCATTAAACACATTCGGCGTTGTTTTTATCTCAATGATATAGTGGAGAATTTGATCACGTGTTCCTTGAACGCTTCAAATGTTAAAAAAGTAGAGACCGTTTAACGGTAGATCTCACACAAATAAAACAAAAACAGAACAAAAAATAAAACATAAACAACTTATTAGCACTTATATTAACCTTAACGAGGCTAAATATCTAATATAGGAATTGTCCTTCTTTCAATCTGGACATAACACTTCTTCCTTTAAAGGCCCATTATGCCTGAGAAATGCTATTGCCTGAGAAATGTTATCATTTTTATTTCTAAAAAATCTTTTTTATTTTTTTTGGTATCTTGTTACAGTTCCAAAATAATACTAATTTACCATATACTAGAACTGTCTTTTGCTCTTTAAGCTCTGTTGACAATGGAGATAACTTGTGAATTAGTATTTTGTATGGAATTCAAAATACTACTTTGCTTACATTTTGCTACCTTTACAACACATTTCTGCACATTCAACGCTACTAACTTTAAAATTAAACATGCTCTTAATCCACTATTAAAACATTAGTAAACACATGTTTGATATTTACTTAGAATTAAAAAATATGGATTTCTGAGGCATAATGTACCTTTAAGGAAAATTTTATCAATAAATGAACAGCGAACAGTGCAGATCTATATTAATTGATACAAAGGTAGGCAAAGAAGAAAAAAACATTTTCTTCTTTATAATATAGTGCTTGTTTTTATATGTTTATATAAATAAATAAACTATATTTTGATTAGTGATATATATTTTATAGTAAAAAATATATGGAATTATGGCAAGTCAAGTTAAGGCAAAAACCCTTTAATCAGATAGATAAATTAATGTAAAATAAGTATATAAATCAGTGGTTGTACAGTTTTAAAAATGCACATTTGTTTTCTTTGACTAAAATACAGCTTGCAAAATATGTATATACATGTACTGATGATGTAAACACTGGTGTAATCTCTAGAATACCTCTAACCTATTAGGCTGTCCGAGCTCTAAATAGGATACAATTTCATTTTCATGTTTTCATTGCAATGTTAATAGTTTTATCAATATAACAAAATATTACATAAAAGATCAAAATACAACAAAAACACAAATTTCCTTGTTTTGAGACCAATTTTGTTGAAACCATTTTTTAACGTATTGGTCCCATTTTATAAAGGCTGACAGACGCCGAAACTTGGTCATATTCTGCCAATCACACCACACGTTAAAAACGAATGCGACTGCCAAACAGAAACAATTTAATACAACAATAACAACAAAGGTAAGTGACCATTTGACAACATTATATCAACCTATAACATATGTTAAAAATCTTATATGTTGATGAAAATCTTTAAATCTCCGCACTATCACACAGGCGAAAAAAATTTATATCAAAAATTCCAATTTTACACACAAAAAACAAAAATGTATTTAGACTTTAAGAAAAGTATGGTCACAATCCATATATCATTTTAGTATTTTTGTTTTTCATGTTGTATACAAAACTTGGCTGAATTAAGTGTTTTTTATCAACTTATTTTTACCAGGTTACTTAAAAGGTAAGACCTATTTTTGCATATTTTGAAACTTTTTATACAATTTATATAGATTGTACGTGTCTTATACTAGCTGTTTACTTTACAATATATTAACTATATGAAACACTTTCGATTTTTAATACGAAAATTATGGGAAAAACAAGACTGAAGTGCGCTGCTTTAAAACAAACATCAAAGTATTTAGAATAGTGTGAGGAAAGATGTAATTGTTACTTCATTAATATAATTACATGTACATGAAGTAAGATTTACCATACACAATACACAATATACTTTATACTTCTATTTTTACAATTTATGGATACATATTTATGATTGTCTTTCACATTTCATTCTCATAAACTCAAAGGAGAATATAACCAGTATATTTTTGTGAAACATGAATAACTCACAACAAAACAGAACACCCCTGTGACTAGTCTGACCACCATAGCGAGCCATGGTCATAATTATGGTTACTTTCCAATTTTGATAATTGAAAGCTGCATGCTTCCAAATGAGCCAAACTTTTTCAAGAAATTTAATCTTGAAAAGATAAGAAACGTAATTCAAAGTATTCACAATGCAAGAAATAATTTACCTGTTATATGCAATTTATGACTGATTTGAGGTATTTTTCACCATATTTCTACTGCGTGACTAATGCATTAAAGGCTAGTTTTGCATATTTTGACCAATTTTTAGCTATTTTTCGTACATTTAAAGTGTCGTTTGCAATGTGTAAATGACTTTCTTTGTTTATTTGACAATTAAATACATTTCAAATGTTTTTATGAGAATGAGCACGAATTTGGAGGCATGCTGCTTTAAGAGTCCCTAAATGACATGTGTTAGATAAAAGCAGGCACTTGAGATAAAATAATGACTTTCAGAAAGCCAGCTTGAATATTTTAACAATAACAATGTTTCACTTTACCCTGTGAAGTGTTTTACTGGGTCCTAATTCATTATATTCAATGACAAAGATAAAATTCACTTAATTTCCGTATTGACGTCACTCTAGTGTAACATAACCATGATAATCTTGTGTATTTAGTGTTAAAATTCAAAGGTCATTGTTAATGTCCTAATGTTTTATTTCATTAGAATTCTGACTCATTGGGTCAATACTCAATAATTAATAATAACGTTTTATTCACAAGCATATAAATAAGTTTGGTTTGAACTATATTTCTCCTCACATTTATAGAATTTTATAAAATGTCTCGTTTAAAATATATGGTAAAAAACTACCAAGTCGTTTTTCTAGATTATGCATCAAATTTATAACAAGATTTGTACGTGATATTTATCATTTATAAAAGTCAGCTATTCTCGAACATGTAAATTTTTAAGACATTCAGGAAAACATAAAGTATTACAAGGGCGACAACTGCCACACAAAACAAATGGCTAAACAAACACCAATTACGTCCCTTTAATTCTAAGCGTCTCTTTTTGGTATGGTTGTCTATTGTTTTGACTTTCTAGCCTTAATCAGAAGTATTATATATGCCACCAGTCTGTAAGCCACCAGCATGGCAAACAAACAGCCAACATCCAACCAAAGATTGTCCTGAAATAAAACGTTTAAATAATATATACAGTAAAATTAATTAATCATGTATACTGTAAATCTTATAATAAAGTCTACACTAAAAATAAAAAATACTAGTATGATGTTAATTTTAATTTTTGGTTTAAAGTAAATAAAAACTATACCAAAGCGATGAGAAAGAAATTCATCACAATGATGCAACAGTTTTATGATTGAATTATAACAATGTTGACTTTGTCCCCCTCCTTCACCCACTCATTATGCAATAAATGTTAAATGTCCACAGTATCAAATATTAATTGTCCATACGTTATCAAATGAGCCGCGTCATGACAAAACCAACGTAATGCATTTGCGACCAGCATGGATCCAGACCAGCCTGCGCATCCGCGCAGTCTGATCAGGATCCATGCTGTTCGATAGCAGTTTCTTTACGTGTTATAGGGTCTGTAAGCGAACAGCATGGATCCTGATCAGACTGCGCGGATGCGCAGGCTGGTCTGGATCCATGCTGGTCGCAAACCCATAATGTTGGTTCTGTCGTGACGCGGCTCAAATATTCCTACCTTATCAAAATTGAGGTAGTTAATCACTTGTTCACCGGATTTATACAGACACAGGCTTTGTGATCCTGATGATGTACTATTCTCACAGTCTGAAAAAAAGAAAATACGTAGAAAAAATAAAGATCATATCCAGAAAAGACAGAAAGTAAAACTAAGTCACTGCCGCTGTCGGTATTGTTTGTGAATATTCTTCTGTTTGGTTCTATATGTATTAGTATACGCGTGCATTTTTCATTTTGCCTATGCATGAAGACGGTCCGTTTAGTTTTTTACTTACGAAATAGCAAATTATAGTAAAAAAAATGAGAAATTACAATATTTATACCTTCAAGGTCTTGGTCATTAATGAGTCAATGTCAAAGGCCTTGTCCAGAGGAGTGTTGTGTTAAAAGTATGAAGGCAATCATTTAAGAATTAAAAAATAAAATGGCTTATGTTAAAAAATGGCCTCGGACGCCATGGCATTAGCAATAGATCGGACTAAAATTGGATGTTACTTCTAACAATGCACACAGCATCATTTTCTTAGGTTTTTTTACTTATGATGGCTTGTTTAAAATTGTGCTCATTATACACTGCCATCTTTATAGGGAAAGTATGTCCAAAAAATAACTTTCATATCATAAACCCAGGAGTTATATACGTAACGCTATTATTTCTTAATTGTAAAACAAAACAAATTTATTAATTTGTGTATAAAAATTCTAAAAACAGTATAGATGAAGTCTCTAACCTATAGAATCTATGTTATCCCACTGGTTTACAGACAGAAGCTCGTTCGCATACTTGAACCAGGACAGATATTCCAGCCAAATAAAGTACACAGGTATAGAGCTGGAAAAAAAGAAACAACAATTAAATAGAAACACTTCAAATTTATACACCAAAATTCAACAGTACTCTGTCAAACGAAATAAAGTCTGAAAATTCGCCATATGACCTATATAATGCCGACTATAGCCTGGCCATATAACCAGATATATTTTAATAATAATTTAATATAAGTCAGTGGCCACACTACGAAATTATCTAAAAACTTAGTTACAAAACAAAATTTTTAAAAAGTGATACAGCATATTTGTAGCGACCTTGACATAACTATTCAATTGTTTCAACATTAGTTTGTAATATATTTAGCTTAATTCAGTGTGGCCCTGTTACTTTAAGTATATCTGTGAAAGCGGTTTTAACACTATGGTGTCCAAAGTACATTTACGTTAACAACAAACAAAAATATATGGCTAATTTAAGCTAGCGAGTGCACCTTTTCACAAGTCAATCGATGAATTCAATCATATACATGTATTACCAATTACATATTAAAGCATGCTTAAAAATTGAAATGGGGTATTTTTTTTGTATATAGGCAATTGCTTCGCACAATTTAAAGAAGCAACAGTGTGTAGAAAGAAATGCTTAAAGGCATTATGAATCAGAAACGATTTTTTTTTCTTTCTTTAGAAAAGGCAAATATGAGATTAATAATGTTTAAACGATGACTTTAGAACATGTAAGATGCTTATTACCTGAATAAAATAGCGCTAAATGTGAAAATATTTGTCATAAAAGTAGCACAATGTAAACAAAATAGCATTATGACTTCCATACAAAATACTAAATCGCTATAACTATACTACTTCTCAGAAAGCAATAGAAAAAAAAATAATTAACCTAATTGACCAATGAATGTTTTGGAAACAATAAAAGGACACAAAATACAGAAAGGTATTGAGAAATAAAAGAAAGCACTTCTGGGGCATAATGGGCCTTTAAGACTGAAGAAGACCAACTTACTCGGAGTTGAGAAAGAAGCCACCAAACATCAGTAGTGGTATCATCATAGGTGGGGCGAAGGCCAAGGCGGTGGTCACTGAGTTCGCGGCTGCTGATACAATGTAACCTGACATAAAAACAGAAATAGTCCAAGTCACAAAAGATCGAACTTTCTGAGTGTTTCAAAAATATGTATTTAAGGTAAAAATCTGTGAAATTTGTCAAATACCATTCAGTGTTAAATATCAGTCATTTTCATCTTCCTTAACAGTAATGTTATTTGTAAATAAAGTAAAAGAACATGTTATAGCTTTAAAAAAATAACGAATAGAAAAATATCACAACAAATCACGGGATACGATAAAAGGGCCATGATGGCCCTGGATTGCGCATCTGAGATACATTTCTAAAATTTTGAAGTCGATAATGAGGTCACACTTGGTTTCTGGTCACTTTATGCTCCATTAAAAGAGAAACAAACGGTTTACACTCACCGAAAGAAACTGAAATGTTAGCGACTAGAAGCATCACCCCTGTGAACACCAAAAAAGCCTCGAACGTGGCATACAATCCTGTAAAATGTCATTAAAACACAAATGAATATCTTCAAGATATGTTCTGAAGTAAAACTCCGGAATAAAAAAAGAACAAAGGGTATACATATACAAATAAAACGTTCTGTTTACACGCAAGCTCAATAATGCACGTGTTCGTGCTTAAATAATGATAATATGTTTTAATGATTGTATTGTAGACGCAGGATATGGAAAGCAAAGATTATCTGGTAAACTATCTAGTATATCAGCTGGTATACTATCTAGTATATTAAATGGTATATCGACTGGTATACTATCTAGTATATTAAATGGTATATCAACTGGTATACTGATTAGTATGTTAACTGGTTTATTAATTGGTATACTATCTAGTATATTAACTGGTATAATATCAAGTATATTAACTGGTATATTAGCCCTTGTAACCAGTTTAGAGCCAGCTCGTTATTATTGGTTGACTAAATTTTCATTTTCATCCTTATATGTCCAAACTTGATAAGGGACAGTTCAAAAAATGTGACCTGAACAACTATTCTAAAATTTCACGGTTATAAAAGTATTAATATTATTCTCAGGAATATTTTATATAGACTTACCTATCATCCAATAGGTGATGGCACAGAATATTAGGGGAATAATGATAAAAGACGGCAACTGAAAGAAAAGAAAGAAAAAAACAATGATCACAATGAAAGAGGTATAAAATGAATGCCATCACTTTTCGTCTGTATGAATAAACCTGTAGTTAATGCATCAACACTAGAAAAACAAGACCACATGGAATAGATCAATGTACTGACAATAAATGAGCCGTGTCATGGCAAAACCAACACCAGCATGGATCTAGACCAGCCTGCGCATCCGCGCAGTCTGATCAGGATCCATGCTGTTCGCTATCAGTTTCTCTACTTGTAATAGGGTTTGTAAGCGAACAGCATAGATCCTGATCAGACTGCGCGGATGCGCAGGCTGGTCTGGATCCATGCTGGTCGCAAACCCATTATGTTGGTTTTGTCGTGACGCGGCTCATTTATTGTAGATACATTGATCTATTCCATGATTAGCACGATTGTAAATCAAACCCTGATGCCGAGTAACAAGTAAATAGTACTGCTGCCAATTTCCGCAAGTACATTTGTAGTAATTTCGTCCTTTGGCATTATTATAAAATTATATTTAAAATTAGTTAATACTAAAATGTTTTAGTTCAATTGTGTTAGAAGTTGTAAGCTTACTGAAATACTCTCGAATCCGTTCCTGAAACTAAGTACTAAACAATGAGTTGCTCACAGAGACAACGGTTTTGAATTCATGAAACTCAACATTTTGGTTTTGTACATAACTAAATAAGTCTGTCAATTTTTTTTTAAAGTTAACTTACCTCGGCAAGGCATTTACTTAGAAAATAAACGTCCACTCTGTAAAGTCCAACACCGTATTCTCGTAAAAATATTGGCGTCTCCAGCGGAAACGACTGCAATAAATTATCACTAACGTTACAATATATCATAGATAAGTAACTAAAACAATTCAGGAATAAGAAAAACAGGTACAACATGGTCGGAATATGTTGTTTTCGTGGTTCGATCCTCATAAAAGTGATTCAATACCGTAAATAAACAGGCGTTTGCCTCATTATGGATTTCATTTCGAGTAAGAGCAAAGTGTCCCCTTAAAAGCAATCTTTCAAAAAGTATTTTCTTTAAAACTTATTTTGTAGAAGTCACTAAACGTAAGTGTTACGTAAATAATGACACTCATCTTCAACGTTATCACTACATAACTTACATTTAGTACGCCAAACACATTTGTGAATGTCATATTTGTAATCATGAGAAAGAGAACACCATTTATGTCCATAACACCCCTCTGGTCTACGTCTAACTGCAGGTAGATCAGTCCAAGGACTATTGATAATAACTGAAATAAAATTATATCACATTTATAATCGGATGTAGTTTCAAGTATTGCGCACGTTTGCCATTATTTTGCGTCCTACAGCAAGATAAAAATCGGTTAAAGGTTACCTTGCCGAATATCCATATAGACATGTCTAGCTTCCATTTTTGGATCCGTCCGTTGTAAACTTTTGGAGGTATCAAAACAGATAACATTAAGACGCGTATCTGGATATTCGCAAAATACCCCATTTTCACCAAAAATATAAATTAGAAGCTCTAGATCAATTTTTGTATCCATCTACAGTTTCAATCAGACCTGTCTTTAAATATGTCAACTTTAAAAAATGCACGTATTGCCTAACTGATCGAAAAAACTGTCATCGTAGGATTTTCAAAAGCTCTCTGCTTTATCAAGATCGCAATATCATCAGTCTTTATTTCTTTTAAAGCAGAAGAAAAAATAAATACACAAAACAAAATAAAACAGGATCATATTACATTTGTTAGGGGATTTCGTATATATATAAATCTTTAAATGAAGGTATGAAACATCAGATTTCTAGGCTAAGTATAGATAAAACTCACTATTGTCTGTACAAATCGAACTCGAGCTACCATTGGCTCCCTGACTGTTGTCTTCCAGGACCTTTCAAACACGGCAGCAAATTGACGTAACCAAGATGCTTCGTACCTAAAAATATAGAAGATACTGCATGTGTGTAAGTTCAATACTGAATTTATTGAACCAGCTGAATAAAATTAAATTATGCCAGCCTCTGGTAATGAACTTACACGAATATAATATTCTATTTATCACATACATAAAAATAAGAACTGTTTACATAAAAAGTAACACTTTATCATTGACGCACTTAAAATGAAAAGCTTACATTGCTCATATGATGCAAAAGACGTCACATCAAAATATATGTACAACCGTGCAATACCGTTTGTACGGAGTCGCACGGTTATGTGATAAATTGTATTTAAAGATAAGATTTCGTCTTTTATAATGATATAGAAAAGAAATCTAATCATATTCCGTAAAAGACATAATATAATATATAAAATATTAGTAGACAACGCTTCTGGCCATTAAGAAAGGCGTAAGTATGTGTAAAATATGTGCAATAAGATTAGTTATAAAAAAACAAAACACTAGCCAGCGTTTAAAATAATATCTATTTTTAAACTGCAAATCTATTTTCTATGCTAAAAAGGCTAAAAATATGATTACTTACCTAGATGTGCTGCTAAATGCTTCCTCGTACTAAAAATAGAATAAATGAACATGCTTTAATAATGAAAAAATACAACAAAAGAAACAAATAGACATGTTAATTCCAAAGATACTAAATTCTGCATAATATATTTTTTCCAAAACAATCTTAACTGCGTGATATTGACGTATTCATCAACAAGAAATGTGTTTTATGGTTTTAATATACTGAGCCAATGGCATACAATTGACACGCAAATATATGTGTTCATATATGATACGACCATAATATTAGGTTTTACATAGATAGTTTCACATAGCTACATTGAAAATAAAAAAGGGTATCCTATTAAAGAGTCAGTACACAATTGAGCCTGAGGTCAAAGGTACATAAAATCATTTTTTTCATCGTCTTGTGTGTAAATTAGGTTAACGACAATCAAGAAAATTTGAATTCTACCAAAGTAAACAGTTCATGTACAGTGTAAGTGTGTTAAAACATACATGGGCATGGCTCTTATACCCACAGGAAATGCAAATGTCTCTTGAATTTGCATGCATGCGCTAATTAATGTTCCATGAATTTGCAGCCATGCGCCAATGTTCCATGAACTGGCACGCATGCGCCAATGTTCAATGAACTGGCACGCATGCGCCAATGTTCAATGAACTTGCACGCATGCGCCAATGTTCCATGAACTTGCACGCATGCGTCAGTGGTCCATTAACTTGCATGCATGCTCAATAACGCATAAAACTTACATACAGGTACACTGTACAACATGTCTATAGTCTAAAATGTATAAATTGATGAATACACTCACTATGATTCCTGTTCGTTTGGGGTTCTCGGCAACACGTTTGTTCTCAGCAAGTACTGATTTGGCATTGGGTGTGTCATCGAATTTGTCACAAATTGCCTGAAATGACAAAACGGGTAATGTATGACAGCAATTCTATTAAATTTTATTGGCGAAATTATTTAGATAGTTTTGCTATCTAAACAGTTCATGCTTTCTTTTCCTGGTGCTGGTTCATTGTTGATCTTTGACCAAACTCACTGTCATAAACTTGTACCGAACAGCAAATGTAATTTAATTTAGTACTTCCAACAAGAGCCGATTAATTTCCGTAATCATTACACGACAATGGCGGATATTGCCGAACAGGAATAAAATCTTCAGTTTTTTTACGATAAAAAAGTAATAACATTATAAGCTCTATGACCTGAAAATGACTCATCACAATGTGAAGTTTTTACCTCAATTTTTGTTTTACATTCTGTTTCGTTGCCTGGTACCACTGCCATCGTCATGATATAGAAGTCAGCTGGGTTGTAGTTCACTGGACAAGGATAGCCAGCTCTATTGTAAAACAAACAACAACAAAATTTTGTAACGTAAAACATGACTCATCATTAAACATTTTCTTTTATACATACATACTTTAAATACATGTATAACTGTACAGGTTAATATTAACGCCGATTTTAACACATTTCCGATCATGTCTCGGCGGTATGTCCCTCTGACCGGCTTTCTTGAATAGCTAACCAATAATAACAAGTTTCTGTGCGAATGACCGACTTCTGCTCCCACATGATTACTGTACCAGTTGTGAGATACAAATGACCATTGTAAACCCAATGTCCAATTAATGAGCATAGTCTTAAAAAGGTCGTATCTTTATTTCTTTTACCAGTAGTTACTTTTACAGAGGACAATTACCTTAACATATATATTGAAGTTTTCGTAAGCACATTCAAATAAACCATGTCTGCTGTATTCAAGAGTTTATTCAGCATAAGCATGCTTCCCATCACTTAAATGTTCACGAGTGGTCTCCCCTTTCCTTTAAGGTTTTTTAATATACAACACAATTCAATACATTATTTAAAGAAATAAAGTAATGAAGAATCTAAATTACGAGTAAATTCCTTCATGAAAAATAGAATTTCGACTTACTCTTTGAAGAAGTTGAGCGCCCCAGCCGAGTCTCCAAGGAACGCAACTCTGCCTTCCGCCATTAGAAGAACGCTTGAAATATAATAAATTTACATAAATTAAAACTATCAACATTTCCTTCATAGTTAACCCTCAACCTGCTGAATTTCCTACATACACTTGCCCAGCTTCCATTTCTGAAACTGTCCTATATTTATTTCAGGTATATTAACCTTAAACTGAAGGACAGGGAGAGGCTGATCACTTCCGAAACCAGTATTCTAAGGGGAATGTACTAGAGAACTTGTTTTGTGAACTCCATTGAATTATGTGCTTCTACAATGCAGGCTTTAAAAACTAATAAATTATCGTGAAGCTAGAATTTTATAATTTTTTCAGTCAGTTTCGGGCATAAAGTGTTGAAGTTTTGACAAGGTACCCAGTCATGTCTTGTGGGTTTAGTCCCATTGTTAGTAGTCGATTTTGAGTTTTTAAAAACCCCCAAATATCAGTAAAAATTATGTGAGAAACTAAAAAAGGGATTCCCCTTTTACTACTTTTTTTTTTATGTTTTTTTTTATATCTTTTTAAAATACAAGTAAATCCCTTTTTCCCCAACCTTTTTTTAAATTTTCATAATAAAAAGAAAGCCCGGTACGGGTTTAGTGGTCTGTTTAATTAATGCGGGAAAATTTGTCCCGAATCGTGAAAAGGAATCGAAATATTTGATGTATACTTTGTTGTTAATCATTTCAGCTGGAAAAACCGAACACTCTCAATTATTTTAAAATAGGGGTTAAGTAAAAACCGATACCACAAGTCATATCTTTAATGAAATGTTAAAATTATAAAAAATAATGATATTTTATATATTTTATATTTTTAAAAACAATAAATGGGGAAATTGTTGAAAAAATTTAAAAGATCATGATGCATACAAAATCAAAGCAGTGTTCGAGAACTCGGAAAATTTTTAAAAAAAAAATTTATAATATGAAAGTGATAAATGAAAAACTCAGAATATGTATTTCGATAAAAAAGGAAAACCTCGATAAGTTGGTAAATTTCAAACAGTTTATTTATCCCCCATTTTTTCAATAATTAAACGTTTTTTTCCGCCATGAAAAAATCAAGCCCGGAATTTGGGTTCTCCAGAAAACACGTGGATTGGTCTATTGAAAAATATTTTTTATTTTTAAGTTAAATTTTATTTAAATAAAAGAAACAATATTTCATCTACAGATTGATGCTGAAATTGAATCAACTTAGTTCTCTTTTGAACATTCAAAGGTTAAAACCCACGAATACTAAGTAAAATCAAAAGAAGTACCAACGAAACAAATTAGTAGAGAACATTTGTATCATAGTTTGGGGACCTTTCTAGAGTTAAATCGTATATACATATACATGCACAGTGCGTTTACTTGAGTGCAGGTATAAGCTATCCGCACTCCAGAGCATGCCCACTGTTTTGCTCATTTTTGCTGGGGTTTATTTATTGTGGCGGCAGGCAGAATAGGGGAAAGCGGTTTAAATATTATATTCAGATGCTCGTTCATTTGGTTCCTTTTTTTTTTCTGTGGTTTCATATTGTGACAACAGGGTACTGGTTTTATGTTTTACTATGATACAAAAGAGAAAGAACATCAAAACAATCGGCGATCTGATAAATACCCGGTGGGGGGGGGGGGGCTACGCCCCCTCGTTCAAAGCAGATAGCCTCGTGTTTCGATGCTCTTTCTATTACTTATTTAGAAATTTACTTAAAGAGTGGACTGATTTCAATTTTTGAGTGAAAGTGTTGTAAGGAAAATGATAAAATTGATGACACAGTCCAGTCTGATAGTGCAGACCAATTAGTTAGTTCTTAGTGACAGATGCTTGGTAAATGATGAAACTGGAAGTGAAATTGTGTTCTTTAAAAACGGTAATCCGTATTTACAAGTTTTTCTATCCCAGATTTGAATATACGTTGTTTCAGAAATATAAACACTTGAAATTTTAACACTTTAAAAAATATATATGTATATATAATGTATACTATATTCAGTGTAGCTTCATACCTCTGACGCAAAAGAAAGTCTACGCATTTCCCCGCCAGAGATTCCCTTAATTCTACCCGGATTTCCAATGATATTGTCTTGACACTTCTGTAGACCGAGTTCTTGTATGACCTCGTCAACACGCTCTAATCTCCTCGCCCTGGAAACTTCCTGTTCCATTCTCAATAAAGCCTGCAAATGCATCACAATGAAAAAAAGCGTTTAAAAAGAATACAGTAACACTCGAGTTTCTAGGTGACGCATTAAACCATTCGTCCTACTTGTATTTGTGTAGGAAAACAAAATATTCTCGCTGACTTGGAGTGGTATGAATAAAACTTGTTTAATCTCACGTATTCTCATATTACTACCTACTATACAATGAGTGGCTGTGCCTAAGTAACTTTTTCCTATGGTACTTTCAAACTGTCAGACTTAGGTTTTAAATAAATGATGATTTTCCATATGCATACGTCTTATATAAAAATAAGTGTTAAAGATGCGATGTTTTTAAAGCGTGCGTGTATGCTTTGTTTCCTACTTAAGGCTTATATACAAATAAACATTAATTTTATTGTTTTCTTTAAAAAAACCCTCAAGGGAGATTATTTAGGAAATAAAAACTACATTTATTTACCCTGAATGTAAGGTGCTCTCTCACTGTCATAGTAGCTATAAATAGATCGTCTTGTTGAACATAAGCGGAGATATTCCGAATTCCCGCGCCTACATCAATACCGTTGACCTTAATATCTCCGGCTGCGCTTAACGATTCACTGTTAATTCGTGACGTCAGAGTATTAAGCAGAGTTGTCTTTCCTGAGCCACTATTATTGAAAAAAATGTAGGTAAATGATAAAATACTATTCAAAACAGATATTTTTAAGGGAAAAGTATCATGAAAAAAAAATTGTGTCATCTTGAAAATAAAAGGTTGTTATGGAAATTGATGTTATCACGACAACGTTAAATGATATTTAAAAAGGTCATTTCATGAAGGACGGCTGCTTACTTTGAAACGGGTTACAGTTACTGTACCATTAGAAAAGGGTTAACAGTATCATTCTAAAAGAGTTTTACCATTCATCTGCTGAATTTCTTAAATGTACTAGTCCAGCTTCCATTAATGACACTTTCCATTTTTCAGTTATATGGTTATTTTAATGGAAATACAAAATAAGTCAAACAGTAAAAGATATGATGGCTGGCCTTGTTTAAGCAAATCGTTTCTTACCTTGCCCCCATAATTGCCAAAAGTGTGCCAGGCTTCACATGTCCATACACTTGAAAATAGTAAAAAAATTGATAGCAATCTGCTCATATACTTTCAATTAAATGGTAACAAATACATGGTTTAAGTGACAAAGACACAAAACAATAGCATCAAAATGTTTACGAGTATATAGCGGTTAAAGCACATAATGCCGTGTAATTTTGTTAAATCATGTACATAAACGTTTGCTTACTTGTCGGGGATAAAACATTGCATTTACGTTCTATCCATCATATTTTATACCATAATGATTATAGATGTGCAGAATGTTGTACAATGTTTGTTTTCTGTTGTTACAATTTATTAAAATATTACTTATAACAATATGTCTTATATGTTTCTAAACATTTCTGTTAGAGGTTAACAACCGTAGTACTCTGCAACACCGGATCACAAACGCCAAAACAAAGTGCTGTACGACAAATTTATATATGAGCCGTGTCACGACAAAACAAACATAGTGGGTTTGCGACCAGCATGGATCCAGACCAGCTTGCGCATCCGCGCAGGCTGGTCTGGATCCATGCTGGTCGCAAACCCATTATGTTGGTTTTGTCGTGACGCGGCTCATATATTCCACAGGTGTGAACATAACATAATTATCTCCCTTCCGAGAATCACAGACAATGTTACGTTACACGGTGTATATGTGATTCAATTTTTTACGATTAAAACTTGTTCTGTCCAATAACAAATCTTCCCTTATTACTTATTATTGCGGAACTTGAAAAACTAGAATTTGTATGAATATATTTACCATCTCTGAGAACTCGTTTCTGAACTACGCTAGGGTCTGGTCCCCTAAAGCATGGTCTGTTCTTTGGTTTGACTTCTACGTTAACGTTTTCCCAGGATAACGTCACCGTTTCCATGGAATCCACCAAACTGTGAGAAGCATCGTGCCTGCAATGATAAATATTAAACTTTAGTTGCTTAAGATAAAAAGATGTCTTTAAAATCTTTATATCCCTTAATAGAAAGGCAAAACATGTACAATTATTTTATTAAACAAGTTAACAAGATGTATCCCAGTAAGCCCAGTCAAGTTTCCATAGACGCACTCAGATTGCCTTGGCGCTGCCGATTATCAAAAATAGGGAATCCTTTGGCAGGGAAACGAAACCATGTGATTTTTGTACAAATTACGTCAATAACTCACGGACTAGGAGTAACCGCATTAGATACACATAATATAGTACTTTGCGCACAAAACCTTCAACTTAACCGATTAAAATAAAACAGTTCTAGATGTGTTGAATACAAAAATAAATGTTTCGGGTCGCTGAAAGCACATTTTCTCCCATACAATATTTTGCAGGGAACCTTCCGTAAGAAAAATATTGATAAAAAATGTTCCTTTCGGATTGGCCGATCGTCCAAGGGAGATAATCACGTAATACACAAGGGAAAGGCACAGAAATTAAACATGACAACAGTGTATACCTTATTTATGAAAATTTATATTTCTAAATGACAGCTGTCGTACATAAGTTTATGTCAATTAACAATAATAGCTATAGTATACACGCCGGAAATAAAGTATAACCTTATTATATGCGAGTTTATTGTCATGTAAAGATAATGTATTTTACCTAGGATAAGAAAATAATTCCCTTAATTAATATTCAAGTCACACAATTTTAATTAAGATGTTAAAATATGCATTATCTTTTAATTAGTATTATGATATTAAAACGCGTTGAATTTTACTACATACTTATTCAGTAAAATATAAGATGATAAAGGCTTTCCTTTCGTCTTGTATACAAAGAAAATGTTTTATACTATACATATTACTGTTTAGAACAGATGTTACTCTTTTATTTAAAACACTTCGGAAAGCCAATATAAACGTAACACATAACATTCATGTATATATACAAATATATTTTAATATAAATATTACCATAGCAACGACATTTTTGTTTCGTCGTTTTTGACGCCAATATCGGACAATTCTGCGAACTCAGCAGTGACTTGCACAGTATGATGAGAATTGTACATATCTAATTTTAATCTATCCCTCTCTTTGATTTTTACAATAAAGAGCAACTCATTATCAAGGATTAATCATTCAATCATTGAACACACTACAGCTCTACGCTTTATTCATAATCATCACTTTAATTGTCACTTCCGTAACACTTTACATTGTATTTAATAACATCAAAATTTGAATTATGTATATTCCAGGAAAACTTAACTCCTTAAAATAAATCCCACACACAATTATCCACACATATAAAGACTAGTTTTCCGTAGTCGTAAATGGACGTTAACACGTCCGATAATTCCCCCAGAAAGCTTTATATATAGGAAATATCGTGTATTTTTTACATTTCATATGAGAATATATTCACTTGACATCAATTCGGTGTATATTAAACTGTTACAACAGTGAGCGAGCGTGATTTAAGTAATTTTACCAGAGACAGAGATGTGTTGTTTTTCTATACCACACCAGAAATGACAAGCGTCCTATCTTATAACCCTGGCTCATAGCCTCTGGCTCAAAAATCGATGTTTTGTATGTGTTCGTTATGTTATAAGCTATAATGTATACAGTATATCATGTTAGGTGATGGAAAGAAAAATATTGGTATTGATACAGTCATGTAAAATACGAAAGTACGCAGGTGCGCTCGACAAGCTGTCAATTATATTAGTTTTCTCTCGTAGATCGATAAGATATGATAAGATTTTTTAAGATTTTTGTATTCAACATCTTCGTAAATATCTTAAAAGTAATATTTTTATCGTTCATGTTGACGATGTGCTCGACCAGTACAGGCACAAAATGACCAAAAGGAATGTTAGACACTGTAAGAAGTAACTGTTTAAACATATTAATTTAAGTTCGATTGCGAAACATGTTCTTGTAACTTATATCAATCACATTCGGTCCGCTTCCTGGAACCAATTAGTATTGGTGTCATATGAAGAAACATGGTCGTGACCCGATAAGGCCTCGAACCCTTGATCACTGGGTTGAGTGGCCGACACTTAAACCACTGGGCCACCGCTTCCCTTAAGAGGTAAACGTTGAAAGATTAAACTAAAATGCATTACAAGTGAAGAACGAAAAGTACCATATAAGGGACTTGTCATTTGTATCAGAGTGACGAGAACGGCCAAAAAAAAGTTTAAAATACAATGGAATTATAAATATTTCTCCTTAAAAATCAAGTTTTTTCCTTCTTTTATTTATATTTAAATCATAATAAATACGTAACATTATCTTTTGATATCCTGTAAAGTGTTGACCCTTTCTAATAAAGTGTACAATGCCATGCCAAGGGGACCTATATATATCAAGTAGTTTTAACTTATAAGGGAGTTAATTCAAGCAACGCATTCTACTATCCCGTTTGCAAAAGTTACTTCCCTTATAAACTTGTTTATGAAGCAGAGGATATTCAAGTTTTTTCTTTATTTTCATCAAGGGATGAAAAACATCCTGTATCAATAGAAATAAACTTGAAGTTTCTGTTAATTATATACATTTTATGTTTTAAATCTTATGAATTGAAAGAATTATCTTTTAATTGTGTGTATTGGCTGAATTTAGATGAAAGTTGTCCGACAAGAAACCAGTGAAAATACCTAAAATATGCTTCACTCCGTGAAAAATTAAATTTACAGTGATAATACGCAAAATGAAAATACGCATTTTATTACATTAATATTACTTTAATAAGTATATAATAAACATTTGTACTTGAAATCTATACTGTTTTTTTATGGAGGGTGGGGGACTGGGGGGAGGGGGTAATAATTTCTGTGATGGACAGATTTTTGTCATGGAATAATATATTAATTTATGACAACGGCGCTATTGAAATATTGTGTCCGCTCAGGTAGGTGCTATTTTACACACTGTATATGTTTATTTTGACAAAATTAATTGGTTATACTTTTTTCTTTAATTACTTAGCAATCAGCGTCGGTCGTATGCTCAGTAAAACACGGAAGAACTTTATTCAAATTCAAAAATACATTTTATTCCCTTCATTTTTTGCTGCGCTTGATCAGACACAGATCTTCCTATTTTTTTACGTTTAAATTAAACAACGTAAATAGCCTTAAATTTTGCATACAATTTATGAAAGAAATTAGAATAGATATTTACCGTACACAATTTGAGCCGCGTCACGACAAAACCAAAATAATGGGTTTGCGACCAGCATGGATCCAGACCAGCCTGCGCATCCGCGCAGTCTGATCAGGATCCATGCTGTTCGCTATCAGTTTCTGTACTTGTTATAGGGTTTGTAAGTGAACAGCATGGATCCTGATCAGACTGCGCGGATGCGCAGGCTGGTCTGGATCCATGCTGGTCGCAAACCCATTATGTTGGTTTTGTCGTGACGCGGCTCATTTCTTTATCTCTTTTTGGACAAAAGTTGTTTTTTTATAACTAATAACTTACCGAGGGGTTATCACGTTTTTCCCATGCTTTTTACCTAGTGGCTGTACAAAATGGGGAGCACGAACACCGTTATTGTGATGGTACGGGTGTTCTTTCCCGTATGCATTAATGTTATTCCCGATCTGATATTTTTCATCCACTGTGATATGTTTAAAGCCTTCCGCATCATGTTTATCAACAACCACGTGATAATCGTCCATCACAAACACTGCGCTATCACCCCTAATATCGGTCATTGTTAAATTCACTATATAAGACTATATTTAGACAATTCCTCCAACAAAATCCAGAATAGCTAGAGTCTATCCAAATACACCAAGAAAAACACAATTTATAAACAAGGATGTTTTAAGTCTATTTACGGACAGTGTAAGATGTTAGACTGAGAAGCAGTCTGATTATTTTCTTTAACAAAGCGTCGTCAGTATTTTTCATTCATTAAAGAATTATTTTGTGATCTTCCTTTAAGCTTTCCGAATGTGTTTAACCAGATTGCACTTATTTTTCAGTCTATATAAAACATACGCAATGTATATAATAATAATATTTTCTAAAATACCACGTTTAGTGTCATATCAATAAATAATAATATTCCGTTTTAACTAAGCATGCAAATAGACCAATATCACCCTTTTACGTTTACTTAAAGCTGACTTTTTGAATTCTTAACTTTGTTTATCACTAACCCGAAGTTTTTATACTACAAGAATCAGTGGTCCGAGATATGTTTTATTAATGACAAACGATACTGTTTCCCGGCATGACATGATCTGCATACTGTAACCTAATATTTCTATTCAAACCCTATATGGCAAACACAATTTAGAAGAAAAGAAATATAAATCCAATACGTCCTACCTTATAAACTTAGGTACATAAACCGTTTTATTTTTTAAACTCTAAAGCTGTTTTCTTAATTGAAACGGGTACTTCTTAATTGAAACGGGTACGCGCGATCGATTACCGAATATAGATCCAATGCAATATATACGTATATTGCGTTTTACGCAAATGGAACCACCATTATATAAGTCCTTGTTTGGTTTTATTAAAAGAGAAAGACGTAAAAATAACATTTCCAGCCGCCGAGAACGAATGAGTTACTGACGACCCTTGGGCCTATGTTGTTGTTGTTTTGTGTTTTCCTTGTCTTGACCTAAGAGAAATAAAGATATTTGTATTTGTTTTTTTCTTGTTGTGTTGTTGCTGTTGTTGATGTTGCTGTTTCGGTTTTCTCTCTCTTTTTTTGAGAGTTCAACCCTCCTAACAAAGACGAGTCGAGACAAAATTGAATGACAACACTGTCTAAACTGATTGGGCACTAAGTCCAATAAAAGAAGTGGAAAATGTCGATCCTCTCTAGAAAGAACATTCAAGTGAAACGGGTAAAAATTAAGTCTTTATACAAAGATGAATAAATGTTGAAATATCAAAACTCTTTCCAAAGGCCGCTCAAAAAAAATGAAAATGGTCTTTGTTGATAGGCGGTCTCTAGAAAAAACAAATTTCCATTCAACCATTTATATAACTGGTCATTTCCTTTTTTAAAAGTGAGAGAAACCAAGAGCTGGCCATAATTGACAAGAACTAGGATTTGCATATAATTTATATGATCGGTCGTTATACGAAGGTTGTACTTGATGCATAGCTGATTAATAGCTTATCCAAGTACTACCGTACCTGTTGGCAACAAACGTCATGCCTTTTAAGTCGATACCGTCCTAGGTTATAAACTTTTGTTCTATTTTTAACATGTAAGCTACACGGGTATTATTTGTAAAATCATTATAATATCGTCTGCTCGCTGATATTAGTACGGCTATCTTCTAAAAGTCAAACCTGAAAGAAGTAAATAATTCGTAATACAGTCCATTTGTCGCGTTGAAAAATACCGTAGGATATTTTTCAAGCATAATTTGACTGTCAATAGTTTTAGTTTCTTTCATAATCTTTGACCATCAATCAATACATAAAAACGAGCTTGCAGTCGCGCAATCAATCACATCTTCTCAACCCCTTTCGTATTATGAATAAAAAACAAGATGTTCCGGTTGTTGCGCTACCTTTGAGGGATCACCCTAATTGGCACTAGGCCTATAAATTAATTAAGGAACTGTAAACTGACGTTTGTCAGCTTCACCTGTATGCAAAATTAAAACAAAATTTACCGTTCGGATTACGAATTTAACATAAGCACAGCTCATTTGCAGTAAAACAAAACTTACGTTGGAACTATCACATTTTTATCGTGCTTTTTACCACGTGGTTGGGCAAAATGTGGAGAACGGACGTCATGGCCCTTCTGTGGATGTCCATGGTCATCACTGGTCCCATATCCGTTTTTAATCGGGTCCTGTCCTTTACTCCAGTTGATACCTTTTTCATTTTGTTTATCATCAATTACTTGAACATCGTCCATTATAAACACGGCACTATCCTGCTTAGTTGTAGACATACTATACTATAAATATTTCCGCGAGATTGTCCAATTATCTTAACCAGGTGTAGCGCAGATAAATATAAGATCTACGTTTTAAAGAAATATCGATTTAATCAAAGACATAATAGATCCATGATAATTTTGTTGTATAAATTTCGATAGAAAATCACATGTAACGATAAAATCTACACTTTTCTTTCAAACCATCTTGATCAATATACAGGCTTGAAATTATAATATTGTATTTGTTAGTTACTATTTATATATACCCTAGTACCTACAGGCTTAAATGTTTATATATAATGCTGTATTTGCTACCGTGAATTAAGCCTATAGAACAAAAAGCTTGATCGGGGTAAGCTTCATAAATAGAAAGATCTGTGCTTGGCAGACGCTTGAATCAACAATAATCGGGAAATTCCAGGCGAGATTATTGGAAAAATCCGTCCTCTCTTTTAACCTAAAGTAAGTTAATATCGACACACATTTTAACTTCCTTATCTTCTGCCAAGTTCGATTTTTTATGTAAACATTTCAATCATACTTGATCTTGGTTACCAGCGTTCTTTTTAAAAATATATCTTGATATGTTATCTTTTCTGGCCCTTATGTTTGTACCGAGGCACTTGAAGTTTGTTTAGCAAAATGACGTATAAATTCATTGAGAAACTTGCTTTCTATCAAAGAATAATAAAGATAAAGAAAACAAGAAAATGAGAAATTTTAAACAAAGCAAACAATGCCTGGATTACACATAAAATAAATGTAGATCTCTGTTTTTAAATGTCTAGATAAAGGCCATGCACACTTATAATAACTTCTTTTGGTAAAAATAGGTGATGGGCGATATAGTAAACCTGCTGCCTTATATGCTAATGTTCTATTTATTTCGTAAAATAAAACATACTAATATCATATTACCACGTCGTAATATCATCTACATACGGGTTTAAAAAGCTGGGAAGCTATCATTTACAATTTTCAGCATCGTAATTTCCAAAATACATGTAGGTTATTGAATAGATCTTAAGTGATACGTAGGCATTTTCATTGTTACCTTGCCATTTTTTCTCATTGGCTTCATTAACGTGCATTAAGCTATATTTTTGCTTAAAAAATAATAATTCCAATATATGGTGGCTGAGTTGTGCCATTCGTGTTTTCGTCCCGCTTGGCGGGTCGCGGGGTGAAGTTTTACAGTTGTATTTTTTTTAATTTTGCCCCGCTTCTCCGCTAATAGCGTGTTTTCGCCTCGCGCCCCGCCGTTTTATTGCTTAAATCTCGCTCCGCAATTCCGCCATTTTAACTTCTTAATTTTCGACTTTTCGCTTGGTGAGATCGCGGGGCGAAAACATGAATGGCACAAATCAGCCACCATGCTTGTATGATATATTTTCTTAAAAACAAATTGCGCATACACAAAATCATGAGTCAGTAGTTAAAACCCAAATTAAAATACCAGCTATCATATTCCTGCACATTGGCCATGGACGACTGTGGAACGTTGAAACGTGGCCACAGCTGCATCAACACTTCAGGGGCATCGAATTATGTGCAATAACCGAAACGCAACTTCAAATAAGCCCAACCGGGTACCGAACTATGCGGGATAATTGGTTAAAATCACAGTTTAATAAATCATGGGGATTTGATACAAACACTGTTTTTCCATCAGAAAAAATCGGTAACAGCCCTTAGTACTTTGATAATTACCACCATCGTAACGGCATAATACGAAATAAAAGGTCATGGTGAACACCGTGTTTCATCGACATTTATAGCATTGTCAGTAAGACCGGTGTACACAATGCATTTATAGAGTTCAGAATCAAAACTGATCCGCCTCGATACACTCGGGTTAAAATGAATGCTTCAATGTCCATTAAATCCAATGATGTAGTTTTATTTCTCAAAACATTTGAGCCGCGTCATGACAAAACAAACATAATGGGTTTGCGACCAGCATGGATACAGACCGTACAGACCGCGCAGTCTAATCAGGATCCATGCTCTTCGCTTACAAACCCTATAACAAGTAGAGAGCTGACAGCGAACAGCATGGATCCTGATCAGATTGCGCGGATGTGCAGGCTGGTCTTGATCCATGCTGGTTGCAAACCCATTATGTTGGTTTTGTCGTGACGCGGCTCATTTATGTTGTTTACAATAAAGGGACTGAGTATTTTCAACGGAAGACAAAATACCACATTTTAGGTGATACGTATCTTATCTTATCTAAGCTGCTCTAAATGCACTAGTAAAGCATTATAAAACACACGTTTGCCTTAACTTCCAAAGGAAACGACGACGTATTCCTGTCTGAGGATGTATGTGCCTTTAATGCAAACCTTTATGTATAGATTATTCTATAAATAATTAAAGAATAGAGATGAAAGTTTTAAATTGATAAGTTAAAATTTCAAGAACTATTGACAAATGACAGCCTGAAACTTTAGAATTAAAATTTCAAAACTTTGACAGTTCAAAGGACAAGGGGTGCCAATGTACAGCGAAATGGGAGCGTGTAGTATTACGATAAAAACAATATAAAAAGTACACCTTACTGTTTTGTTTGCTTAACAGTTTACGTATGCTACGCATTGTTATATATTTTCTTACATTCTTAAACTCTGACTGGACAATGGAATTTGACCACATTTTAATATGTTTACTTTTAGTATTTAGCTTTTCATTAAGTGCTACTATAAATCCACCGGCGTTAGATATGTTACACCAGTGGTATATTGATCCAAACTTAATTTTAAACTTAAAGGGAAGTAATTCATGATATAAAGTAATCTGATAATAAACACGAGCTTTCGGCTGATTTGTCTTGCAAGTAATGATAAAATTACATGTATCATAGAATTATCTGTCCAACAAGACCAGCGTATAATCTATAGATAATATAATAGTTACACGTAACGTGTGCTGGACAGTAATTTTTGTTCTTGATAACCAGCGGGAGATTATTTTATGATAATTTTATCATTACTAACAAGGCAATTGAGTCGGATGCCGGTGATAATAAAGACCGAATCATGATTTTTTTTCTTCTGAGTTCTTGTCAAGTTAAATTTATGTTAAAGCTGCATGCCAAAAAAAAAGAAAAAAAACAACTTTGAGATTTTAAGAAAAGTAAAAATATACA